CCAGCAAAATCCAGAAAATTATTAGCAATTACTTCACAAACACATATGCAAAAAATTGGAGAATTCAGATGAAAGACATTCATAGATATATATGAAATATAAAAACTGAACCAAGACTTAAAAATCCTGAATAATCCACCAACAGGCAATGAAATGGAAACAGAAGAAAAGACAAGACCAGACCAGACCTACCAATTAGGAAAATCCCAGGACCTGATGGATTCACTGCCAAATTCTACAAGAACGTCAGGATAGATCTAATACCAGTACTCCTTAAACTCTTTAGCAAAACTGAAAGGAAAGGAGTACAATACAATACAATAGAAGATGAAAAAGATTTTGTTTTTATAAAGTTCAGTGGCCTTCATTAGAAATGTATGGAGGGCTAGGGATTTAGCTCAGTGGTTTCGCAGCCTGCTGAGCAAGAGTAAGGACCCAAGTTCAATCCCCGGTACCCCCCCCCAAAAAAAAAATCTATGGAAATTTTGCAATCTTGCATCTCTCTTAGAGTGTGCATTTTCTCAAATAATTTTATTACAGATATACATCCACTTCAGAGTTGCATAAAATTAATCAAACTTGATCTCCATGGCAATCAGATAAAGAATCTACAGATACTGAATTTTGGAGTGGATTAAAGAATCTAAAACTTCTGTATCTTCATGACAATGGGTTTGCAAAGCTGAAGAATTTATGTGCATTATCTGCCTGTCCAACACTCATTGCTCTCACCATGTTTGATTGTCCAGTAAGCCTTAAAAGAGGATACAGACATGTTCTTGTTAACAGTGTATGGACTCTCAAAGCACTGGATTATCGTGTGATTTCTGATAAAGAAATAATTCAGAGCTGGCATCTTCCTGAAAGATCCAAAACATGTAATAGCTGACTTTTCTTTAACTTCTGCCCTGCTTTGAGAAAGGGAAAGACCTATGAGGATGAAATTAATAATATTAAATATATTATTTCAAGAATTAATGTAATTTCTGCCTCATAACTCACCAGTTTTGATCATTCAAAGATGGATACATGGTTTCTTAGTTAGAAAACATTTCAGTTGTTCGTTTTTGTGTAAAAAGCAGCAGGAGAAAATTATTAGAGAGTATGAAACCAAATGGATTTACATAACCAAAGAGAATGAAGACAAAGTCTTTAAGGATATCTTTTCTAAGCCTGAAACTAATATAAAAGGAAAACTTGTGCATTGGAAACATGGTAAAAAAAAATTATGAGTCTGTTTTCACTGAATTAGGGTGGCTGTGTGTATTCACCTTTCAACAGCATCTAAAGGAATTGTGCACATCATTCCCTGGACAACAGGATGAATGCCTGTCTCAGGACACTAGGGAGATCAGCTGTACACAAGATAAGTGTAAAGTTGAAAAGAAAAACACACTTCCTAATTCATCTAAGCCAGTAGACTGTAACACATTGAAACTTGCATTAAAGTGTTCATGAAACTACTTACTTCCTCATACAATAAAACTAATATTAACATTTTCCAATTGGATGAAAAGTATCATCATTGGGCCGGGGATTTAGCTCAGTGGTTTCGCTGTCTGCTTCGTAAGGGCAAGGACCCGAGTTTGATCCCCGGCACCAAAAAAAAAGAAAAGAAAAGTACCATCACAAAAATACTGTTTTGCAAAAACTAGTAAGTGCAAAACTTTGTAAGCTATCCATCCTATTCTAATAAAAAGGTAATAAAATCAATAAAAGGACCATTCTTTACCACTTTAAAAAAAGAAATAGAACTTTGCCAACCAACATCTGTGTTGTACTTCTAGGAGCAGTCTTGAAACAAAAGTCAGGGTGTCTTGGTTTAAAGAAATTTGGAGACTTTGTTAAGATGTGTTTGTTATGTACATGTATGAGGTCCTTACAATGAATGTAATCATTATGTACTACAAACATGCACTAATTAAAAACAAAATGTGCACGAGCCTCTTCTCAAACCAATAGGTTCATTTCCTAGAATCTTCTAGAAACCAAAAGTAAAAAAGCAGTCACTTAAATTAATTTCAAATTCCTAAGAATTTATGCAACATTCCTTTATAGCTAAGAATTTCAGATCTTGCCATATACTTAGCATCCTAGGGAATGAGTTTATTCTAAGAATTAAATAACAAGCTGGGGATGGTAGTGTACACCTGTAAGCCCAGTGTTTGGGAGGCTGAGACAGGAGGATTTCAGGAATTCAAGGCCAGCCTGGGCTACATAGTGAATTCTAGGCTGATCTCACAATTAGCTGAACTTGATCTTTTTATACCAGGTGATGGAGCTATATCTTCACTGTTCACAGGACTCTGGAACTAGCTGAGTCTTGTTCTTTGAAATACTAATGCTGAAGTATCTGTTTGTTATGACTTGGCTGGTCTTGCCTAGAGGTCTTTTTAGGTGCCCATTCTCTTCCTACTCATATTCCTGCTGGGCATTTCTGACCATGTTCATGCTTAAGCACCCTTGTGGATTAGAAAACAAAACATTTCCAAAATCATGGTTTCTTCTTTTTTTCTTTCCTAATCTGTTAAAAACTATGGGGTTTTAATTTTATGCTTTACTTGTTCTTTTGATTTAGGCACCTGGAAAGCTTGAGCAAAGTAAGGGCTTTCTTTTTCTATGTAGAGTACTTTGGATTTGCTATAAACCTAACAAGAAAGTGGCATGGTGATACAGATTGTGCCGGATTTTTTAAAGAAATGGAATATTTTATAGAAAACCTTAGAAGTACTTTCTAGTTCAATTCCATAGTTCAGTTACTTTCAAATTTGTGTGATCCTATTTATACAACTCATATGAAGTTAAACTGAAACTAAAGTTTCAGAACAATGTAGAGTTACTGTGTATAGTTACTCCAGTATATGGTAGTACCCCTTTTTCTATGGGGCATATGTTCCAAGACCCCCAGTGGATGCCTAAAACTGTGGATAGTACCAAGTCCTGTGTATGCTACATTTTTTCCTATACCTGTGACAATAGGCTGATTGATCTTTGGCATATCTAAATTGCCTGCATCACTACTCTTGTGCCTTGGGGCCATTATTAAGTAAAAGAAAGGTTACTTGAACACAAGTACTGTGGTAACAGCAGTTGATCTGATAACTGAGATGGCAGCTATGACTGATGGGTGATTAGTGTCTGTGGTTTGGCTGTACTGGACAAAGGGATGATTCTCATCTCCAGCAGAAGGGAAAGGTATGGTGTGAGACTTCATCAGGCAACTCAAAATGACGTGCAACTTAAAACTAGTGCATCATTTATTTCTGGAATTTTCCATTTAATATATTTTCAGACTGTGGTTGACTTTGAGTAACTGAAACCGTGAAATGTGAAATTGCAGATAAAGGAACTATTGCAGTCTGTTCTCTTTTAATTTATTAAAAAGAAATATTGTGTGGGGACCTGTTATACTGATTGCAGGTCTTTCAGTAGTAGTAGTACCATGGTTTTCTAGAGTAAGAGCTTGGCTCCAAGTGATTAAATGGAGTAGAGACAACCTGTCATGGTGTAGTTAAGAGTGAGGACTTGGAGAAGGACAAGTTTGGGCTCACCCTGTCTCTGTCGTTTAATGGTCATTTAACCAAGTTAGACTAGTTGCCAATCTTGGGTCTCACCTTTCCATGAAATGAGGGTGATATTCATTGCCTTTAGGTTATGAAATTTAAATGACAGAATGGATGGTGTAAAGTAAGTTCAATATACTACAGCTGTTACTAGCCGTTTTACTTATTTCAAGATTTAATGGAGTTTCTCTGACTTTTAGCTGGGTGCGCTTTGTACAGATTAAAGAATCTGTTATGACAGGAGTTATGAGGCAGTGTTAAGTAACAGAGCAGGTAGATGAGAATTGCTTAGTTGACTGGCTTACTCTTTGGGGTCATTTGGGATGACAGCTGGGATCTGTGCCGACAAACTGCTGGTTTATTGCAGGAGTATCCGGCAGTTACAGAGCCTTCAGTGACAGGAGCAGGTCTTCCTTTCCCAGTTCATGGGCTGGAGGTTAAAGCTGGTTGTGTGTGTGTGTGTGTGTGTGTGTGTGTGTGTGTGTGTGTGTATAAGATCAGCTCAGGGGAAGGCCAGAGGACATAGGTAATTCTCCTGCTTGAGTCATCTCTCCATACCCTCCCATATTTCACATTCAAAATTTTTTCATTCTATAGAACTTTTCTTCCCTTCTTCCCTTCGTCTTTCCCTTTTAAAGAATGACTAGCTTTTATATTTTAGATAACAATCTGTTCATAAAAGGAATTGAAACAAATTAGATCATTAAAATATAAACACTTAACACAAACTTAATATATAATCATATCATCGAAAGAATTTCATTTATTAACATCTGGTCTTCATGCATTTAAAAATAGGTAACTATAATACTGTACTATATTCAAGTATTTTTTTTAATGAAAAAACACCCCCTGAACTAGTTAGATAGTTGTAGATCCTAAAGAAAGAAGGAAAAAGGAACCTGCTTTTGAAAGAGAGAAGCATTGATGTCTTCCTGTCTGTGAAACTGAAGGCTGGCCCTCTGTTTAATCTCTCCTCTCAGGCATTCTGGAGCAAGGAGGAATACTTTCTGCTGTTTTTACTTTATTTGGCTTGCCCTCCTGGTGTCAAAGGACAGGTGGTTAATGGGTTTTCTGCAGCTCAAATCATTAGGTTGCTGGTAAAGATGCTTTTTTTGTTTGTTTGTTGTTTTTGATTTTTTGGTACTGGGATTCGAAATCAGGACCTTGCGCTTGCCAGGTAGGCGTGGTGCCACTGAGCTAAATCCCCAGCTCAAAGATGCTATTTTTTATGGAATGGAAACTCTGAATGGTTTCTCGAAGTTCTTCCCATAATACTAGACAGTGCTTTCTCACTGCTGTAGGTTCCTCAACCCATGATCTCACCCAGTTCCAGAGGAAAACCCAGGAGTGATGCTTGAAGTAACCCAGCCTCTACTGTAGTATGTAGATCAGATGTGTCCTAAGACAGGGCCAATCTTTTTTCTTTCTCCACAGATTTTGAAGCCAGCTTCATAAGACTACTGGACAAAATAACTAATGGTTCTCGAATTGAAATAAATCAAACAGGTAAGCTCCTTTTCTGTCCAATCTGAAAGCACCTGTGCATACTACTTAAGTGTTCCTTTGTTTCTCTTTTTTAATGGTATAAATATTGTATTGTGTTCAAAACTTTACTAATCATGTTGTGTTATAAAAGCCATCATTCAACTGGAATGTTTTGAAGATGTACCCTTCAGAATTACACAAGGGAGCTATGAGTGGTGGTTATAATAAAGACTTACCATTCTGAGTTATCAAAATACTATATTTAGTTGGAAAGACTCAGTTTCCTGTCTGTGATATGATTGACTGAAGATATACATGAAATCTCCCAATTTAAGGAGCATACATGTGCCTTAAGTAAGATAGAAAACTGACAACTTTATATCAACAAACAAGCACTTCTCTTTTAATAATAAAAATATTTTATGCTTAACATTTCCATAAAACTTTTCAAAGTACATTTATATCATCCCATTAAATTTCTTATAATAAACTCTGAGATAGTTTGTGTATGCTGACATTTTAGTTTTGTCTCTTAAAATAGATTTACACAAGTTTATACAAAAAAATGTTAAAATCCCTTTACCTTTTTCTTCTTCTGTTCCTTCTCTGGAGATTGCCACTATCAGTATTTGCTTACATAGTCATTATGTAACTTAACATCAACAGGGTCATGATTTTTATACTATTCTGCAGCTAGCATTTTTTTCACTAGCATAAATATTTAAGAGCTATCAATGCCAGTTTATGTAGGTCTACCTCCATGTTTCTGTGGGCTGTAGTGTAGTTTCCACTGTATAGATGGGTGATAATTTCTTTAGCTGCTCCCTATTGATAAATTTTCGGTTGTTTCTAGCTTTTTTTTCTGCTGTTAAAATGTTTATATTGTATAGGATACCGTGGAAAACATCTTTTAGTTGACTCTGAACTCTGTACCTTTGGACACATATTCCACAAAGGAATCTCTGACCTTTAATATACATGGGTTCTAAAAAGAAGATGAGCTTGGATTCATATGTGGCTCTGGGCTACGTGAGATGTGCTGATTTGTAGCTGCAGTTAGCCATAACTGGTGGAGAAAAAGTTTCAGGGATGAGCTATTCAGGTTCCCTATGCCAGCTATAATTCCCCAAGTCTTCTTTGGCTTGTTTACTTTGAAAATCTAGGAATTTTTTTTAGCAACTTTTATTGGTGATTCAAAAGGCAGATGATTTTATCCTGTAATCATATCTGCAATAAAGGTTAAAGAGTAAGACATTTATGTGATCCTGCTCACATCCTGGGTCCTTTTTTCCCCCCCTTCTCCTCACAGTAGACACCATCATTCTGATGATCTGGTCAGTTTCTCATGAACAGATGGAATTGAAAAACTGTGTGACCGTATACCTTTTGCTGGCTTCTTGATCTAAAAGATGGTGTTGTGACTCTTAATACTGTTGAAGATAAATGACCCAGAATTCTTCTCTTTGATCAGAATATGATCCTGATTATGATTTTTTTGATTTGGCTGTGCAGTAAAACTTAAATTTATTTCATAAAACTCCTAAGAACTGTTTCCCATTTGAGTGACTGAACATGTCTCTTTTCCTCTAGTATTAAATTTATTTTGGTACACTGTAGCAGAAGACATTGCAAAAGGTTTTGAGTATCAAAAATACCTTGTTTGCCCATTTGCCACCCCTGCCCCCACAATCTGTAGTGTTTTCCTATGATAAATCTAGTGAGAAACTTTTAGATGCTATGAATGTGTGAAAAAGTGAATAATGATAATAAATAGTGTCTACCAAAGCCATAATTTTAGATATTTCCATTAATATTAATACCAATTATTAATGATTAATTTTTCATTTAATATTAAAATAGCCATCATTAATGGCATCAGATGCTACAAAGTATATGTTTTTTGTAGGGATCTCGTTTTTAAGTAAAATGTCTGAGAAATCTCATGTCAAGCTGTAGCTGTGATGATGTAAGACCATCATCTATGAGCCTGCAATCAGCACAGTCTGAGAATGTGCTGCAGGGAGGCCATCGTGTCTGTTAGGAGCCCTCCTCTGTGCCCACCATGAGTTTGGCAGCTGAGATGGCTTAGGGAGGGGTTAAATTTATCACTGTTTATTAAATTACATTCATAGCTTATTATTGTTACAGAGGCTTGACAGTAATAAGTCAGCTTTTGGGGTGAAATATGGGCTGTCAGGGATGGCATTTTGAACTTCCCTGGATGCCCTTGTCAGATTTTCCCCTTGGGACTCACTGCGTTCCTTGCCTTGTAACACTTGGTTTTGTTCCTGCTTCATCTGGCTGTTTTTTCTCTGGTTTAAGGAACGACCTTATATTATCAGCCTGGCCTCCTGTTCGGTGGATCAGTGGAACATGACTGTAGTGTCCTTCGAAGTATTGGCTATTACCTGGAGGGTCTCCTTTGCCTGGCTCCATTTATGAAGCACCCGTTAAAAATAGTTCTCCGAGGAGTGACAAATGACCAAGTCGACCCTTCGGTGAGTGTTGAGGTCAAACCGTGGCCTTTTATCTTGTAACAACTCAACTTGTGAGGGAAAAAAAAGTGTTCTAAATCCAGTTTTATTTTCAAGTGTTTCTTCAGTCATTTACCTCAAGACTTAGAGGTTAATTCATTCTAGAAGGAGATGAACCAGGATTTGTAATCATCAAATTCAGAATGATTGCTGCCATTCAGCAATGTGCCTTTCGTTGGTAGATGTGGAAACCTTTATAGGAGATGCTTGGTGTCCATTATGTTTGACATGAACTGTAACTCTTGGCTGAAGTGTGCGAGTGGAGTTTTTGTAGTCATGTGAGAGCCGAGGCTAGAGGGCAGGTGATCAAAGTTTTAGGCAGGAAATAGTATCCTTTGGCATTACCACAGCATAATCTTGACTTATCTAAGCGTCAGTTGTAAACGCAAGGACTTTTTTCATCTGAAAAGACTGTGGAGATTAAAAAAAAAAAAGCATGAGGACAAAGAAGAAATGTGTTAAGGATTGAGTTTGTGAGTACCACCAAGCATCTCATCAGACATGCTAATTTTCCTGCATCTATAAAGAGAATGATTTACTACCCAACTAACATTTTCACTTTGATCACTTTAGCTGTCTTAGTGCCAGTCTTAGACATCTCATAGGAAAGAAAGGAGTCCTCAGTTTTGAATGCTTTACTCTCCAGAGAAGATATCTTAAAGCTGATGGCTATGAAATTCTGACTGAGGAAGCACCCTTGTTTTCACTGCTACTGACATAGGCCACTGCCAAAAAATGGGCAGCTTCTGAGATAGCTGTGAAGTGTGTAGCTTTCCTACCTGGGAAGGACTAGTCAGTTAATTGTGCAGTGAGCTGCTAGTATTCACCTAGATACTTATTAGGGTGTAGACATGGTTAATGTGTTCTTAGGTCGAAGACTTGTTTTTCAGTTCTTTTTTTTTGAGACAAGGTCTCACTGTGCAGTTCAGCTTAGAATTCACTGTGTAGCCCAGGCTGGCCTTGAACTCCTGCAATCCTCCTGTCTCAGCCTCCCAAACGCTGGGATTATAGGCATGCACCACTGTGCCCAGCTTGTTATTTAATTCTTAGAATAAACTCATTCCCTAGGATGCTAAGTATATGGCAAGATCTAAAATTCTTAGCTTTAAAGGAATGTTGCATAAATTCTTAGGAATTTGAAACTTAAGTGATTTAAGTGATTGCTTTTTTACTTGCATTTTCTAGAAGATTCTAGGAAATGAACCTGTTGGTTTGAGAAGAGGCTTGTGCACATTTTTTTTTTTTTTTTTTGAGGGGATCAAACTTGGGTCCTTGTGTTTGCAAGGCAGGTGGCAGAAGCACCGAGCTAAATCCCTGGCCACGTTTTGTTTTTAATTAGTTCATGTTTGTAGTACATAATGATTACATTCACTGTAAAGAGCTCATACATGTATATAACACATCTTAATTCTTTTTATGTCCCCCTCCCTCCCTGCTGCATTTTTCCCCTACCCTCTCTTCATCTCCTTTTTTCTCCTATTATCTGTGTTTTATTTTGCTTTTTATTTATATTTTAGGTTTCTCATATAAGATAAACCATGCAATATTTAAGCATGGGTGTCTGATTTATTTCATTTAATATTGTGGTCTGAAGATGTATCTGTTTTCCTACGAATGTCTTATTTATTGTTCTTTATGGCAGGGTAGTACTCCATTGTATATAAATACCACATTTTCTTTATCCATGGACATAGGCTACTACCAAGATTTCCTATTATTAATTGTGCTGCGATAAACATGGGCATGCATGTATCACTGTAATATAACATTAATTCTTTGTGGAAGATTTCTAGGAGGGCAGTAGCTGTGGCAAATGGAATTTCTATTTTTAGTTTTTTGAGGAATCTCCATACCGACTTTCATAGTGGTTTTACTAGTTTACATTCACACCAATAATGTGGAAGTGTCCCCCTACCTCCAGTTTCACCACCATTTGTTATTTGATTTCCTGATGATAGCTCTTCTTTCTGGAGTAAGATGGAATCTCAGTGTTGTTTTAATGTACATTTCTCTAATGGCCAGAGAAATGTATTTATTGGTCATTTGTATTATTCTCTTGAGAGGTGTCTGTTCATTTCAGTTTGATAGGGTCTTTTATTGGGGGAGGTCTGATTTTTTTTTTTTTTTAGTTCTTTTTATATTCTAGATATTATATAGCTGCCATAATTTTTTTCCCATTCTGAAGGTTGTCCCTTCACTCTGTTGATTGTTTGCTGTGCAGAAGCTTTTAAATTTGATATTATCCTATTTGTTGATCTTAATGTTATTTCTAGTGCAATTGGAGTTCTATTCAGAAAATCCTTGCCGAGGCCTATGTCTTCAAAAGTTTGACCTATTTCATCTTCTAGAGGCTTCTACTTTTCAGATGCACATAATGGGAAAAGGTCCTGAAGAATTCTTGGAGATTGCTGTGAATCTCCATTTTGTACTCTTTTTCTATAATTGCTAATAATTTTAGAAGCTATTCTCAATGGCAATATTCAGCAAGTTTTAAAAATTTAAGTTTTATATATTAACAGTAACAAAAGATCAGTGGATAAATTCTCCAGAAATAGTGTTTTTTTAATGCAGACTATTAAAAATAAGTCTGTTTTCATATGCTGCCAGACTGCTTTTGACAGCTGCATGACTAAAATGATGATGGTTGGCACGGTGCTCTGGCCCAGGTTAAAATAAATAGACCTAGTCCAGGACAAGCAGTGACTTTAACCTGTGGTGTCTTCTCAGGTGTCCTCTTGTATGTGGTTTACACACCATTTCATGCCCAAGTTCACTCATGCATAGAAGGATGAACACCTTGAGTGGTTCTGCCTGCCCTCAGGGAGTTCTCATTCTCTTGGGCTGGGTAGCTCTAGACACACCTAGACAGGCCTCAGGCTGACTGCCTCTGGGTCCTGGTAGGGTTACAAGAAAAGTTCTGGGCATCAGGGCCTGAGTCTGTTTTGTATTAGAATACAGTCTGTTTTGTAATAGAATATATGGCACTGGATAATTTATAAAAAACAGATTTATTCCTTACAGTTCTAGAGGTTGGCAAGTCCAAGAGCATAGTGCCAGCATCTTGTGAAGGCCTTTCTGCTATATTTGTAGGGCATCACAGGGCAAGACAGAGAAAAACTTGGGGAAGCCCATCCTTTTACTGGAAGCCCAGCGCTGAGATAACTAACCCACTTCCATGATAATACCTTTAATCTGTTCCTGAGGGTGAGGTCCTCATGACTTAATCACCTCTTAAAGGTTTCACTGAGAGTGAAGCTCAGCCAGTCCCAACACCCAGAAGGAAGTTCCCCCACTGCCATCCCAGGCTCCTAGGGCCAAGAAGATGAGCCGGTCTCAGCACCTGGAAGGAAGCTTCCCCGCCTCCATCCCAGGCTCCTAGGGCAGTGAAGCTCAGCCGGTCCCAGCACCCGGAAGGAAGCTCCCTGCCTCCATCCCAGGCCCCTAGGGCAGTGAAGGTCAGCCGGTCCCAGCACCGGGAAGGAAGCTCCCTGCCTCCATCCCAGGCTCCTAGGGCGGTGAAGCTTAGCCAGTCCCAGCACCCAGAAGGAAGCTCCCCCACCGCCATCCCAAGCTTCTAGGGCAGAGAAGCTGAGCCGGTCCCAGCACCCGGAAGGAAGCTCCCCCGTTGCCATCCCAAGCTCCTAGGGCAGAGAAGGTGAGCTGCATGGGTGCCAGAAGCATGCACCCCCCCC